CATTATGAATAAGTACCCAAATTCTTAAGGAAATGCCCAGTCAAGCCAGGATATTGTAATGACTGAGGTATGCTGACCCCAACTCTGAGCACTGTATTTCTCAGGAGAAGACTTAAGTCTTCTTAAGTGTTACATTACAGAACTCTGCCAGTCCCAAAAGTCAGTAATGTCTCCCGTTATGCAGCTGTAAGATACAGTTGGGTGGCTGTGCCTGGGCTGAGGGGTGACTGCTCCTTGAATGCCATGCTGTTTTGCTCTAGAGCGTATGTGGATGAGCTCTTGTTGACTTGGTTTTCCACTTGGTTCTACTGATTACCTGCACGCTTCAAACAAAGCACCCAGAAATGTATAAACTGTATTATGAACTCAGCACTTAAAGCATCATCCTCTCACATCAAACTGCCCCTGAACAAACAGGGGCAGCTCAGGCACCACATCAGCGTGCACTTAATTCACTTCCATGCAGGTTCACTTGGTAATGAACTGCTAGATGCAGTAGATTCTCTTAAAACTGAGGAGACTAACCCAGAAGTTTCTCTCAGTGCTCTTAGAAACAACCATTGCAGTGTTTAAACGGGAGCTTGCTTTTCACAGGCTTGAGAAACAGCTTAAGACAACAGCAGCCGGCTGGTATTTACATAACCTGAGGTGTACGTCACCCTAGCACACAATTAATTAGAAAGGCCCTAATATTTAATTAGGGAAGAGGATTTTTAAAGTAAAAAAAGTGGAATGAGCGTATGCACTCATTTCATTGAACGCTCCTCCAAATAAAGGTTCAGATACAGCAAACTCCCATGCAGCAAGAGTCTGCACCTTTTTGTATTTCTACTGAACAACTTGGTTCGTTTATATAGGACTTGTATGAAGCCCAGGTCCAACAGTCTGCAGAACTTAGAGGGGGTGGGACAACTGATCCATATACATACGTCCGAATCAAGCTTTCTTCTTTGGCGTTCTTCAGCTTCGACATCCACACTCCCATTTATTACCTGCATACATTTGGGACAAAGCTTCCAACCAGGTACAAACTGTCTTCCAAACTTGGCAGTTAGAAAAGTTGCGTCATGCAGGTCAATTGCACGCAAGTTTTTCTTTGATACTTTTCTGTGCATATTAAAAGGATCGCAACACGACTTTTGTAAGTCTTCAAATCTTTCAATGTAAATTTTTGCATGATGAAAGCAGATGGTGTCGTTCTCTGAAAGGGTCATTCCAGTCCTAAGCTGAAGCAACAGTAGATCGAATGAAGATATATCTTCCTTAGTCTTGAAGCCAGTGTGACGGGTATAATAGGTCTTATGGCATTCATTGGTAGCTTGAAGCTGAACTCCAACTGAACAAGGATCCATTTTTATCAGAACAACTTATTTCACTTATTTTGCCTAAAATGAGTTCTTTGAAGTCTTTAGTAGTTCCTATGAAGATCACCCTAGAGAAAGCATTAAAATCAATCAGATTTGTGCTGCAAACTTTTACCTGTAAGCTTGACAAACTAGGTTCAAGTAGCTTAAGATACATTTCTTAAATTATACTCTAGCTTTCTAGTCTAGATGCACTCATTCTCTTTTCAGAGGCATTTTTTTTACCAGCCGTTCTAAGTATCCATTCAGCAGCACTGCCTTATCAAAGGCAATCTGGAGGTGAGGTGTGAGGTAGATGATTTGTTCAACAGCAGCCTGCTGTGCTCTCCAGCCTCCAACTGGCACACTCCCAGCTGCTCTAGGAGAGGGCCCACAGGACCTGTCTGATGGCTGAACAACTCAGACATCTGGTTTCCGTGTAGTTTCAGGGGAAAAAAAGGTAGGTTGCTGAAGGTAGGCTGCACAGGCTGATGCCAGCTGGTGATCTACATCCAGCAGCTATCAGCTCTTTCCTGTGTACTCCTGGGGAGCAAAGAAAAGCATGGACAGGTGTGAGTCAGCACCCTGACTGAACGTGAGCATCTCCAGGAAATGGCCACCTGCAGTACATGTAAGGATGTGTGCACTTGTGGATGGATGGCCTTTGCGTGCAGCTCTTTCTATCTGACTGCTACGCCCCCATCTTATAAACATGGGGCACTCATTTAAACTTACTTAAACACAAAATTAAAAATATTATGCTAGCTATTGCAGAGTGGTCCTGCCCGTGCCAAAATTTGTTACAAATCCAGTGTTGGCCCTAAAACATCAAAGCTTGAGCCAATCTTGTGCTATTTTCTACTACGACACAATGGGGAAAATATATCCACCAAAGGAAAAGAATTCATTTTCTGACACAGAGAAATCGAAAAGCGTCATTACTTGTTCTAGCCACTGAACAGGATAGCACATCTTTTTAATGAATGAAAGCATCAGTCAGTTGTAGAATGGGAGAAGATAGTCTAGGATACTACTTCTAATAAAATAAAGGTGAGTAGCAGCACAAACAACCCAATGACATGAAAATGAAATGTGTTAATTTAACCAGACTACAGAGGTATGATCACAGTGGCAAAAGTTCCTCACAGAACAATTAGAGGCCTTTTACAGCACTCTGAAAAGTCACTGTTGGGAGTATATTTTTGCAGCAGAAATCCCCTTGATTGTAATGCCTTAGTTTTTCTAACCAGATGCACGCACTTGAAGAAGCTGCATGACACATTTCCGTGTATTAAACTGTATGCACAGCAATTTAAAGGTGTTGCGTAGGACATGTGGTTGTTGAGTGATTCACCCATTCCAAATATAAGAGAGAATGCTTGGCTGTAGAGAGATAAACTAGTTTTTAAATGCAATTTTACAATTTGTTTGAGATGGAGCAGGGTGTAAGAGCATTAATTCTTCAGGCAATAAGAGCCCTGAATGCGCAGGCACAGTTTTAGAAAGACTTGAGTTTAAAAGGAAAAAGGGAGGGAAGAGAGGAAGGTGAATCTCCTTTGGAAAATAAAGCAAAATTAGTTCCTTTCTTTAGCAAGTTACCCGTGCAGAAAAGCTTAAGATAGTGAGTTAGTAAGACATTCTGTATTGATTTCTCAGGTTGTTTTAGTGTCTTAGTAAACCAGCTATACTCAGAACTAGTCACTTTTTTAGTCACTAAGTGCATGCTTGTCTTCTGCACTATGGTACGTGGAATGCTGTATGAGTAAAGCTCATTGCAGCTGAGCATGTTTTTAACAGCAGTATGTCAACACCCAATAATATGATTCAGTAAGTCTGTTGCAGGCCATGCACCAAACCTGCTGCAAACATCACAACGCGTGCTTGCAACTGACTCCTGCTCTGGTAGATGGGTGCAGATGAGGAAGCACGCTAGATAAACAGAAAAGTAGTTCTGAACTGTCAGCATCTGCAGACGCATCACAAGTCTGACTTCTTGGTAGATGTTTAATTAAGAATTGATAACTTCTATAAAGGAGAAGATAAGTGTTACATTGTTATCCTCGGCAGACAGCTGCTCTGCCAGCTGACCATGCTCCTGAAGCACTGCTGGGCTAACGTAATGGAGTGTGCATCGAGCACCAGCTGTGTGACTTAACGTGTCTCACTCACTCAGTCCTTTTGTAAAACCTCTTGGCAGAAGCTTCAGCTGTACTTCTTCCTTCCCTCCACCTTGGGAGGAATACACAGCTCTTCGCCTTTAATTCTTTGGTTGAAACAGGAGAGGGCTCCAGCAGCCTGGTGCTTTAATAGAGGCGGGTGCTGACACCTGTGAAATCAGCAACGAGCGTTTACAGACAACAAACTAAAGCAGGACACAGTGATGAGAACCAGGACAGCGAAGCGCACGTGCAAAGTAAAGAACGCGTGAAGCAGAGCGAGGGCTGCGTCAATTCTCGGAGGTAGGAGCAGAGAAAGAAGGTAGGAAACCGGTCTAGGGCGACAGCTGCGGGCCGTGAGAGGCCGAAGGGAAAGAGAAGTCCTGGTGCGGCAGCGCAGCCCTCGGCCCCAGGCGGCGCGGTGCCAGGCTCAGGCTTCCCTCGGAACGGCTCCGCGGCCAGGCCAACCCAGCACGGAGCTTTCCCGGCGCGGCTGCCGCTTCGCCAGCAGCAGCAGCAGCAGGGACCGCCCCCTCCCCGGTACCTTGCCGTGGACTTTCCTCCGTCTCTGCGCCGGGACCCCCGCACCCGGCTTCCGCGCGGCCCCAGCTACAGCAGCGCTGCCGATAGCGGACATCGACCGTGTCTCCCCCCGGCTACCGTAGAGCGGGGGAACCACCGTAACGCAAGGAGCTGCACTTCCGGTTGGGCGTGCAACGGGCGGGCGGAAGCGGCAGGCAGTCACGTGGCAAGGCGCGATCACGCGCTGCGCTGCACTGCGAGAGGGGGCGGTTGTGGGGGTGGTCGCGCGCCTTTCTCGTGCTTTTCGCGCGCGCTGCGGTGCTGAGCGCGAGGCGCGACCGCAGGGCTTTTCCAGTCAGCGCTGTGGCGGTCTGTGTGGCTGTGTGGTACCGGGCTCTGAGCCCCCCTACCTATTGCTGCTGTGCGCTGTAGTTACCCTACAGTGAGACAGAAGTTATTTGCAAGATCATCCCTTGCACAGTTCTACTCCAGCATTGCCCATAGCACAGTCCAGCAGCACGAACTACAAGCGAATAATGCCAGTTAATCACTCTAGAAGCTTTTTGTCTCCTTCCCTGGTTATTTATGACTAAGTAATTACAGACTGGCTCTCTAGGAGGCTTGGGGTGGATGGTAAGTACAAGCAAGATGAGTTAACAGTTACAGCAAATGCAGGAGGGCAGAGTGGAGAGCTAAAGACGTCCTAACAAGCCCACAAGCAGGTGTCAGTAACAGAACAGCCAGCAGTGTGCACTGCTCGCCTCAGCATGGCTGTTAGAGAAACAGCTGAGCAGAAACACACAGGTGATTTGGGGCTGAGCTCGGGCACCAACAGGAGCCAGTCTTCCTTCATTATAAATGTTTGGGAGTAGATCTAGGTGGTCAAATCGTGTTTTGAAGAGCTTTTGTTTCTCAGTCCGTCAGAAACAGCGTTGGAATGTTGGATTTGGTACTGGCCAAGCCTTAAAAGGACACTAAACCTGCCTTAAGGGGCAGAGGGCTTGAAATACATCGCCGATTTAAAACAAGGTAGTTAGCAATACACAGTTTTCTGCTGGCTGTATCCTTTTAAAACATAAGATTGTTATTTGGGGGTACTTTTCACCTAGCTTCTTGCCACAGCATTGGGGATGGGTAGAAGTAGTTGTAAATAAGGAAAGGGCTGTGGAGGTGAGAGCAGGTTTCATGCTTGCATGGGGAGGTATGCAGGCAGCACTCCAGGGAGTGCTCTGGAATATAAAGCTTTAATCCTAGCGTGACACTAGCAGGATGTAGGCTGTGTATCTGACTGTTAACAGAAGGCTGTTGTAAATTCTTGAGTCATACGTTGCCTTAATGATGACAGAGGGACTGTCAAGTGCGATCATTCAGAGCAGGTGATAAGGCTTCCTCTGCTGACTTGTGCTGCTTAGGAGATGCGTGGAGTTAACGAAGGGGAATAATTCATGAGAGGAGGTATTTGAGGTACAGGTTGTGACATCAATTTGTATTAGATAAACATAGGAAGAGCAGTGAGGCGTGTGCATTCCCCTTTCCAGTGTTGGTGTCGACCTGTGAGGCTGAGTGTGTAGGGTTAGAGTCAGAGTTCAGGCTCCCACCTGTTATTACAGCAAGTTTGCCATCCGTGCATTCAGACTGGCTTTGACTGGCCTTGTTATCTTTCATCTGCCTAACTGAATGGTACCCTGCACAGAAAGTCAGTCTTTTTCTTTTTTTCTCTCTCTTTTTTTCTTTTTTTCTTTTTTTTTTTTTTTTCCCTCCAGGAGCATTGTTCAGAATTTTAGGTTTTGGTTAACTTCATTTATCATGTGAACAGCATCGTTTTAAAAGCTTGCACCTTATCTGTAACTGTATCTGTAACTGTATCTGTAACTACATAGTTACAAGAATCCATGTATCCACGTGGGTTGGCCTAGAAACCAGCAGAATGCTGATAAAGGGCAGAGATTTGAATTCACTTCTTTTCCAGATTTTAACATAAATTAATCCATTTTTATTTGTATTTTTACTATTTAAGTGGAACTGATTCAAATACTCCACTCCTGTAGAATCTTTTTTATCACATGAAGCGTCTCTCTTTAATGTGAATGTTACATGAAAATAAGGTTTGCATATGGTTATATTTGGCCTATTTGATAAGGAGAAAGTCCTAATTCAGGTTACACAATTTTGTCGCAACCGCAACTGGTGTTTGTTCTCTTCAGAGTCTTCAGATATGTTCAGTCAGAGTTGATGTGAGTGATCGTAGCAAAGAAAGAAGGAGAAATAAGGCGTTGGATTTGATAGAAAGCACTTTGGCGTAAATAGAAAAGAAAGCTTGTCTATGAAGGAGTGCATGAGCAAATTGGGCATGAAGGGATGAAGCCCTGTGTGAGGTGCAGCTCTGAGCCTTTAAAGCTGCATTAGCGCTAGGGAGGCTCACAACAAAGAGCGTGGATGTGAGAGCTAGGGAAGGAAAGGCAGGACTTACAGCAAGTTCCTATGCTCGGTACTAAAAAAAAAAAAAAGAAAAAAGAAAGGTTTTATGGAAGAAAGCAAGTGACGAATTTTGAGTAAATCCGAGGATGTGGTTGGAGTATGATGTGATGTTTGTTAGACACAGTCCTGCTGTGATCATTATGGAGCTGCTCATTATGCTTTGTAAACTTCCTGATACTGTGGGGATGCCCAGCTGAGGGAACATGGGGACCTCATTCTTTCTGGGAGTAAATAATATCCTGTTTGAATGCTGGTTGTGAAACAAGAGCAAAGTTAGGCATGAAAGAAAAGGACCTGAGAGGTTGTATTTTGTTGCCACTGAATGTATTTTGTCCATAGGAGGTAAAGTTTCATTTCCACAATACTTCCATAATTATATTTAATTACAAATAAAAGCATTGATTTCTCCCTTTTGCCCACACAAACTTGAATACAAGCACATAAGGCTAAGTGCAGGGTACTGCACTTGGGTCAGGGCAGTCCCCAGGTGTTTATACAAACTGGGGGAAGATCTCCTTGAGAGCAGCCCCGTGGAGAAGGACTTGGGGCTCCTGGTAGATGAGAAGCTGGACATGAGCCAGCAGCACGGAAGGCCAACTGTGTTCCGGCCTGCATTAAAAAAGGGGTGGCCAGCAGGGAGAGGGAGGTGATCGTCCCCTGCATCCAGGCCTGGGGCTCCCAGCACAGGAAGGATGTGGAGCTCTTGGAGCAGGTCCAGAGGAGGGCACTGAGATGATCAGAGGGCTGCAGCATCTCTCCTGTGAGGAAAGGTTGAGGGAACTGGGCTTGTTTAGCTTGGAGAAGAGAAGGCTCTGGGGAGACCTCATTGTGGCCTTCCAGTGCTTGAAGGGAGCATATAAACAGGAGGGGGAACGGCTGTTTGTGAGGGTGGATGGTGATGGGACAAGGGGAATGGTCTTAAAGTGAGACAGGGGAGGTTTAGGTTGGATATGAGGAGGAAGTTTTTCACTCAGAGGGTGGTGAGGCACTGGCACAGGTTGCCCAAGGAGGCTGTGGATGCCCCATCCCTGCAGGCATTCGAGGCCAGGCTGGATGTGGCTCTGGGCAGCCTGGGCTGCTGGTTGGTGACCTGCACACGGCAGGGGGTTGGAACTGGATGAGCATTGTGCTCCTTTGCAACCCAGGCCATTCTATTAAATAAGCACTTAAAGACATTCACTAAACCTTAAAGAGAACTGCAGATAGGTAGCCCTAGCACATAATGAGTTCTCATTATCTTCTGAAAAATATGATGCTAACTGCTGGGTGTGAACTGAGAGTCACGAACTAATGACTTGTCCACAGCAAAACTGTTTCTTTCACACCAAATGTAAAGCTGCCAGAAGTCTGAATATCACCATAAAGCTTAAAATAATTTTAGAAGATCTTAAAGAATGCTTTGGGCTATCTTTTAACATATTACTCTGTAACTCTGTAATCACAGTTATTTTATAAGGCCGCATGTAAAAGTGTCCATAGGATGGGTTGTGTTGGAAGGGATACGAAAGCTCATCCAGTTCCAGTACTGTGCTGTGGGGTGGGACACCCCCCATCAGCTCAGGCTGCCCAAGGCTCCATCCAGAATCAGAGATGGGGCGTCCACAGCTTCTCTGGGCAGCCTGTGCCTGTGCTTCACCACCCTCTGAGTCAACATTCTTCCTTGCATCTAATCTAAATCCACCCTCTTCTAGTTTAAAAACTCTTTTTCCTGTCACAGCAGACCTTACTAAGGAGTCCCTCCCTTTCGTTTCTGTAGATCCCCCTTTCAATACTGGATTTAATCACTTTCCAGCCTGGATGTGTGTCATTGTTATTTTATTCTGGCAATATTAAGAAGATTATTGATTATTGCCAAAATTTAGATTTAAATTTTGGCCCACAACTGAGTGTTTGTATACTTTTAGGATCATGTATTTCTACTCTGTCAGTCTAACAAAATCCAATATCTACTCATTGCTTGATGTATAATAATTGAAAATCATTTGCTTTGATTGCATTTGATATTGTGATGCCTCTTTGGAAATCTTTTGCCCTTTTTAGGCTGATCTCTTGATATCCTTTATAAATTTATGTCTTGAAAAGTTCTGTCTACTCAGTGAGATCTTTCCTTCTTGTGTTGAACAGGATTTGGGCTGCTGCTTCCAATCTGCTCCTTGTGTTTGAGCAGCTTCACAGTTGATGTAGCAACGAATGCATCACCCTGGTCTTTGCTTCAGGGCTGAAGAGAACGTGCTTTGAAACATGGATGTCTGCTGTCCTCAGGAAGCTGTACAGCATCTCTCTGTCAGGTTTGTGTCTCACGAGAAAGCCCCAGTAGGTACCATTTTGTTCTGACTTTCATGTCTTACATGGTGCTGATTTTCAGTGGAAGTTTTCTTTACCCTTCTGTAAAGGTTCTGAATTTACTTGTGATTCAGAAAGCAGGGACATTTGGTTTTTATGTTACTAAAAGTAAACAGATGTAGCCTCTTTTCAGTCTCTTCAGAGAGCAAGCAAGCCACGCACAGATCTAAGTCCGGTTAATGCTTACTCACTGGTAACTGGATAAGATGTTCAAAGAATTTAGAATTTGACCTTTGCTAAGAAAAATGTACTCTCCATGTTTGGACTGATGGAAATTGAAGGTTGTTAATCTGACAGTAGGCAAACTGAATACAAATGAAGAAGCAACTGTTTTCACATTGGTTCATGCTGTAGCTTGAACCCATCTATCTGTTACTTCTTCCCAGTGTGCTCTTATGCTCGAGAAAGCAAATAAATAATGAATGCATGACCTCAAATGGGCATTATTTCTGAATGCAAGTGTGAGCTTACAGGTCATACACTGTGCTAGGAAGGCTGGTATGATTAGTTCCTGTTAAACAGTAGGGCTTGATTCATGATTATTCTGAATTTCTTTTACTCTGCCCGATGCAGTAAAAGAAATGCAGAGCAAACTGTCAGGCTCCCTTAATTGAACACCAAAGTTCAGGAGAAGAAATGCATGGATCAGCATTCAGATGTGAGTGTTGGTTATAAAGCTGCCACCGGATTTGGATCATTCACAAGGATTGGAGTTAGGTCCTGTTTTTTGAAACTAGGCACAAACTGCCAGCAGTGATCATTGGCTGTTTTCTGGAAATTCTTGCTTTGTGATGCTATCTGTAAAAGCGGAAATTTTTCTTGCAATATTTGTGTGTGAGGAAAAGTTTTATTCTGTTGGAAGGTTATACTGGTGTGAAAGTTTTTCTGCTGCTGAGGATAGCTAATGTATACTATATTTTAAAAAGCATGTTTTTCCAGGGCCAGATGCACCTATCTGTACATTCACCACTTTGTCAACTTACTGAGGAATTTCTAGTCATTAACATCATTTAATTATTGCCAGAAAAATGACAGTGAAGCTGGATGACTTGCTGAAATTCTAAAGCATTTCAGTAGCCAAGTGAAAAGCACAGAACAAGTGTCAGAGTAGACTTATATCCCTGGGAGCAGCTGCGCAAGGTTTTATTCTTGCTGCTGTATTGGTGTGATTCATATGAGAAGGTTTTTATTTACAGCCTCTTGCTTTAGTCATAACCTTCTCCAAGAAAACATTTACTTCTAATCTGGCTGCTCCAAATTAGTTCATCCACCCTTCCTCTGTTACATTTGTAGAACAGCAAGTCCTAGAGTGCAAGGAATGTCAGAACCTGACTCTTATATATAACTATTAGTGTTGCAAAACTTATCAAACATGAAGTTTGACAATAGAACTTAATGATAAAACACCCAGTGCAGCTGGTTGTACGTATCAAACCCAACGGCAAGTATCTGTGAACTTAGATTTTTTTCACTGCTCTTCTCTTACGAGCATTGGGTTCTGCACCAAATTCTATGGCTGTGGAATTCAGTTCTAAAGCATTCTGCTCCATCCCTCACTGTACAGTGGTGTTTCTCCTTTTAACAAACTGTAGCTGTGGGAATCACCACTGTTCCTTGAAATCCTTATACATAGAAATGAGGTGGCTGTTCCATGAAAGCTTTACCAAAATCAAGCTTATTTACATCCTTTCTGTTTGTACATTAGAAGGTGATTTGGGTATGTGTATGTCTGTAACTGTGGGAACAGTTAGAGTGCCCGGCAGTTTTACAGCTTTGTGACAGACTGATGACTTGACACCCCAGTGGATTTCATGCGTTGTAATGTGTATGGAGAGAAAGTGGCATACTTGTTTGGCTGCAAGTGGTGGGCCTCTTCATACGTACCAGCAAATAGTGCAAACAGTCACAGGCTAACTCTAGTGGCTCTTAATTTTCAAAAAAATAGTGTAAAACTATTACATACTGTATTAGGCAATATTATTGGGGAAAAAAAAAAAACCATAACAAAAAAAAATAATAGGGTAAGATGATTGTTAAGGCAACTTGTACCACCAGCTGGGATCTATTGATGTCTTAATATTCTCTTTTCATTGCCAATTTCAAGTTTTGTTTTTAAGTTTTTGTCAGGGTGCATTGCCTGCTGGCTGTACAATAATGACCTGCTACAATTCTGTCTGCATGATTTTCTCTTGAGGTTATTCCTCAGTCTCTCCTGAAGATAATCACAGCATGTAAGTCGTTCTGGTTGTTTGCTGACCAAATTCTATCGCTGCCCACAATGTCTGATGTTATCATCTCTTGTCATCTTCTAAGGAGTCTTTGTCACCATTGTATTTCAAAGGCTTTGTTTTTTACATGCCCGTAACATAAATTTGCCATGGTCTATTAATGTGCTACTGTGGAAAAATACATTATTTCACTGTTTATATAATTTATTGTTTGGAGAGTCTTCAGTTTTTCTGCACTCCAGTAGTGAAGTAAATTTTTGAGGGCTTTTAAGGACTAAACTGTTTAGGACTTCTCTTTATTTATTTTTTTGGAACTGAACTTCATGTCATTCTTAGCCAATTGCTTTGTACCTTCTGGTGTTGTCACACCTTGATTGTTGGCACCAATTTTTATTAAGTCAGCTGACTGTGTTAATGCTCCATTAATGTGGGACAGTCAGCATTTCTCAACTTTTTTTTTAATGCATTGCATTCCATAGCAAAAATCGGCATATGATCAGTGCATCCAAGGTGTTTCAAGGTGTCACAAGAAGATTCCTTCTGCTTTGTGCTATTTTTCTATCAATGGGTCCCTAATAAATTCTGTGTGGGTGAGGATACTTTTCTCTCTGTCTGCTTATACCCAGCAGAAAGATATTTAATCTTGTTGGCAACTTCTGTTACATTTGCTGAGATACGTTGTGGTTATGAAGCCATCCAGCCTTCTCCAAGGTTGGTTATAATAGCAGGTATCCCATGTTTTTAGATAGCCAATAGAAACATGGTCAGTGGGGACTGAAATTCCAGAGAAACGATTTCATTTTGTCATGAGGTTAATTCTGCTCCTGAAATTTGCTTCATACAATCTTGAATTACAAAGAGCAGTTCTGATTTTGACTGATAGCATTGCATCAAAACTTCATATTCCCATTCTTGAACAAAAATATTCCCTTTATCTGCTTGTCCAGCTGATATCCAGTCAGCTATACATAATTGTAGATTTTCCATGGTGTATGGGAACTACTGAGTCACGGCCTGAACCTCTGATTGATCACCTGAGGCGAGCCATGAGTCAGCCAGAGGAGCACAGCTGCAGGCAATTCACCTAGACCTATTCCTAGACCTATTGAAGAGCTGGCTACCAGTGGGGAAGGATCTCGTCTGGAGATCCCTCCTTCTGGTGTTTTGTGGTGAGCCCAGCATAAGGGTAAGCCTTCCATTTATTCTCTCTTGTTATCGTAGTCCACTTCGCCTAACTCTCTTGTTTATTTTGTGATTGTAACATCTTGATATCCATTGATTATACACATGGTAACATAACTATTGATTGCTTTAAACAAAACTGCTTGTACTTTCCCAGTTTTTATTTTTAAAGAAACAGATGCCTTTTGGAATTAATATTCGACTCATGTTTTCATTTTTACCGTTTAGCATTGTAAGTAGTTTTGATGAGGCATTTTTCTTACCTTTTTCTTGCTGCTTGGTTGCTTTTTTGCTGCTTGGACAGAGGCAGCATGCTGTTGGTGTGCCACTGTAGGGTCAGCTTGACTCAACATTTGCTCTCAAATTGTACTGTAGGGTTTTTTGTCACCGACCCTTGGCTGAGGGTGTTGAAGGCGGCCATTTTTCTGAAACCTCAGAAGTACAACACTTTCCCTATTCCCAGCACTTACAACCTCAGTTACAAGCATTTGATAAACTGTCTCATTACCAACACTGTGCATGGATAATGGAGGTCTTGTCTACATTGCAGGCCAAGAACATTATCCAGAGTGCTTGCTGTGTTCTTTGTCCAGCCTGAGGATCTGTTGGAAAGTCTGGAAGCTTCTGCCATGTCTGGATCAGTTTGAAAGAGACTAATCCAGAAGACAGGAACAGCTCCTAGAGCCCACGCTTGTGCTTAAAGGCATGTGCATAGCACAGAGCTTCCTAGACTGATTTTAGTTACAGAATAGTTCATAAATGGGTAATGACACTGGGTGTGATGTGTTCTAATGAAAGGCTTCTCAGGATTACAGAGGGGGAGTTGAAAAGCTGGTATCTCAGATATTTGAAACAAATATTCTCCTTTCTTTGCTTTGGTTTGTTTTCCTGGCTTTATATCCTCCAGCTATACAGGATGAACATTTGGGCCATTTGTCATCTTGAATTCATGTCATTTTAAGTATATAGACATACCACTGGAATATCTCCTTATTTATTCACTTAAATGCGTTGTGCCCAGAATGCTGTTTTCCTTTTGTCTAATTGCCTTTTCCTTTAATTTCTATGATAATGGTATTTATATTGCTTTCTTCTATTTCGTATTTTATGCGTATTTATGTTCATGCAGCCTCTTCATGCTACTGTATTAGAATGAGTGGGAGATTTTTTTGGTCCCTTCACTATTCTCATTCTAAATGATAAGCATGCATTTGCTTATTCTGTAATGTTTTCCAGGAATTTTGAAAAACAAATCTCCTTGAAAAAGTCCTTAGAATATCGTATAGTTGTTGGCTTTGTACACACATCCTACTGAAAACCTAATTCATGTGCAGGTGCAAAATCTAAGGGCAATAGTCAATCAGCTGAGCTTACTGTCCATTGGCAGATGCACATGCACATGCTGGACTTTCTAGAATATAAGGTGGTTTGAATGAGTGGTTTTTCTGTTTTATGGCCAGCATTGATAGTCTTTGCAAACCTAATTCCCTTTTCTTTTTCCCGGTCTCCCTTTTTCCCTTTCTCCCTTTCTCTCTTTCTTCCTCTCTTCCTCTCTTTCTTTGTCTCTTTTTTAAGGCAGCTTAAGAGTAAAGTTTAAGTTAAGAATACTCTGTTAAGAGTAAAGTTCTAGTTCAGCTAAGTAACATGCAGTGGTTAGTGATGATGCCAGTATCTTATCCTATATTATTTACCCTTGTATTAAATCACAAATCAGAATGTGTTTTTTTTAGATAACCAAGGTGCCACACAAGAAAAATCAAAATACAGTAGTTATGCCTAATGGTTCATGTATTGCATGCTTTTGAGTTCTGTCTTGGGGAATTTGAAGGCATTTGCAGCAGAAAGGAAATGCTAAAAAGAAAAGGCTGTCAACAATTAAATTTTACCTCTATAACTCAGATTGCCCTTGAATTGCATGTTCAAACCTAGGAGCTTAGAAATACTGCCTTATCCAGTAGTTTGGATCTAGCTACTGAAACCTGTCCAGAACATAGGTCAGCAAATATATTTTGAGGCCCAATCTGAGCTAATTTGTCCATCAAAGGGCTAAACTGTCAATTTTATGTCCTGCACATTTTTTAATTGGAATTGTTATGATATCACTGTGCACTCATCTGGCTGGCACTGAGTTGCGGAAATGTTTTTAGTTTGGACTGAAGACCTGAACCTTCTCAAAACTTCCAAAAAGTCAAAGGGATGCACATTCCAGTGTGTGTGGCCTTATCGTATCTCAGATCTGTGCCTTCTTAAGTGATGGTATGCAATGGAACCCCAGTGTTTGTCCCAGGAGAATTTCTTACGACCAAGATTTTTGTGTTTCCGAATGTATTATTTTTTTGTTTGTTTTAGTAGCCACAAACTCTTTGGAGTGTTATAATTCAGTGGAGTACACTGAAGCCTTGGCTTTGTGCAGTGCCTGTTCCCATGAGGTAACTTGGACTTTACACAGTGTTTCATTCTTTTGGTGGCTCTGCACTAAAGAAGAGGGAAACTAATTCTGTGAAGTGAAATATGGTTGCCCTGTACTTCTCTTGGATCAGAGTCTGCTAGAGTTAGGTCAGACTTGCATTTCACAGTTTGTTTTCAGTGCGGTTTGGGATGTTCACACTGAGTTTTTAGTAATAGTGGAAAGCATCAGAAAATGGAAACTTATTTTTTTAAAAGGATACCACCAGGTTAGTACAACCAAGTATTTTCACATCTGCCTTTAATCTCTAGTTAGCACCGCACCTAACAAAAAGATGTGTTCTGGTCATTTGCATAGAGAAAATGAATATGCTTTCCAATCCCTTTCAGCCTGTTTTTGCATACTGTCTCCCCAAGCAATAAGTGATGTCTGAACTATTTATTTTTTTTTTTTTTTAAGTACAAGCACAAGCAGACTGGTGTCTGTGCAATGCAACCCTGTGGGAGATCTCTGAGCTTTGCAAAATGTTTAGCTCTGAGAAGTTAAAGCAGATATTAGAGCAGAAAGAATATTTGCCAGTACTTAAAAGGACAGAAAGTAGTGGAGCAAAAGAACAAACTGGGACAGAACAAATGGAGGAGCACTGAGAACGTAGGTTTGATATGAACGGAGAATGCAAGATAAGACTTGAGGATTGAGGAAGAAAGAGTAGAAACACAAAGATGTAAACAGCTGGAAAAAGGCAGAAGCAAAAGAAATGTCAGTAATGGAAGAGATCAGAGCTCTGAAGATAGTGCAGTCTTTCTCCCCTCCTGTTAATTTCGCTTAGTTAAGTTGTACTGTATGAGAAAACTGGCTTTGGTCCTTCTTGTGGTGAAGGTACATTGGTTTCTTAAAATTGAGAAGCAGCAGCAAAGTGTTACATTTTAAATTCAGGAAGTAAACATGAGAAAATTCATCTCACTTCAGTTTACAAAGTGGCATCCATTTGTTGAGTAGGTGCGACAGAACACTTCTGTGGTCTCTAACTGCACTTTTTTGTGTGTGTTTTTGCATGTTGTCATGAAGGAGAGCCTGATATATAAGCATGTAAGAATTAAGATAGTAGATAAGACCGGTGATGGTGTCAAACTTGTAAGTACTCATTCTGTTTTCAAAACAACTGTTTCATGAAAACAAAAGAAGGTGAGCAGAAAACGATTTTGAGATAACCAGCTCAGAGATACTAGGTTAAGGACAAGCTCACCAATTCCAATTTGACTTGCACACAGAAGCAAAACGATTTAAATTGGCATTTATTAATAATGACTGCTTAGAATTTGAAAAGAAAGTAATCACACTATTGTTACATAAGAGAAAACAAGGTGGAGCTGTGGCCTTGATTGAGCTTTCTCCATTTCATTTTATGCAATCCGCAAATAAAATTTTGTAATATATTAAAATATAACAGAGTCATAAGCTAAAATTAAGTTTTAAGAGTCTTGGTCCACTTATTTTTTCCTAAAATCCACCATTTTCCTATGAACAAACAACGTTCAGAAGATTTGAAAAGGTATGTGCTACCAAAACAGCAGATTTTTTTCTGATGGTTCTACGACTTCTTTGTGTGAACAGCCTACAGCTCAAACAGTTTCAAAATGCTGCGCAGGTGAAGCTTGTAGATAAATCTTCCTGCTAAGTTCTGTCTGCTCTGAAGTAGAATGCAGTGACTCTTCTTGGCAGTGAAAGGACATTGGCAGTAATTAGTATGCAAGAATAATTCCTTTAAGTACGGGAATCTTTGATAACTGAAGCATATTTACACCAGGTTATGGTTTGGCTTGCCAAATTCTTTATCTCCTTTTAGTCTTCAAAAATGTCACTAAAGCTCTTGAAAGAAGAACTCAAATGCTCTTGAGATGTGTTAAATAAGACCCATTCAGCTGAAGTTGTCACCTAAGTGAAACCTCTTTCTCTCAGTGACAGGGACTCGATTCTCTTGGAGGTTCTGAGTTCTATCTGAGTGGTTAATTGGATGATTCATGATACGTGTGCCGAAACAGCACTGACAAGTTTTTCTACTCATGGTAGTTAAAATATGGGATATTATTATCTCGTGTCTCCTGTAGCAACAGGAGTAATATTTACTCAGCAGTGCATAATTCATGGAATAATGTGTTTTTTTTGCTATTGGTGGCAGAAAGAGAAATGGTTTGAGAAGGGCAAATTCTCTGTGCGACAAACATCTTAGATATTTTCAAAGGCAATAAGTAATAGTAGCCCATTTACTTTTTATCAGTACTTTCAGTCACAGTGTTACGCAAGCGAAAGTCCCCTTTTCTATTCTTTTAAATATAGCAGCATTTTGAGAAGTAGTGTTTGCACTAATAAAATAACATGGCGAAAACAGAAAACCTAGCCAAGTCTACATCTACAGGATTATTTTTTTTCTGATTGCCATTATGCGGTTTTGAAAGTTAAGATATATTATGAATTCTACCGCTTGTTAAGCATGAGGGATTCAAACTCAACCTTGTGTTGGATGTTTCCCTGTGGCACAGACAGTGCAAGTATGCTTGTCAGAAGTGAAAACATAGGTGGTTAAAATGGTAAGACCTCGTAAGTAGAAATGTGTCATTCGTCCTTTTTTTCATGGGAATCACTTTTTAACAATGCGTTGGTGTTAGCTTAAATCCCAGCCCACAATTCAGTTATCCAATTGTCAGTGCTTTTCATTCCTTCTTTACAATGCAAGTAAGGGTAGATTTAGGTGTAGAGACATTTATGACTCTCTGAGCTAACAAACAAGTAAATTCCAAACTTTTAGCAGATAGGTTATCTTTATTAGTTTAGGCATCTTGTGATTTATCAATTTTTATGTTGATTTCAGTTCTTTTATTAATATTTCTTAAGGACTGGCTACAAGACTGCAGCCCAGGGCAGAATTCCAGTAGTCAGGTGTAAGCAGAAGCATTTTTCAAACTGAGTTGTTCTAGATTTGTAGCAACATAAATATGATTAAACTACAGCCATCAGCATTTAAATTTCATCCTTTGCTAAAGAATATCTTTTTTGCAGTCTCTGTTAAGCTTCCTTTACTTCTGATCGGTTCAGAAGGTCTTCAAAGCCATCCTGTTTTCACACTGTTGTCTTGAATGGTTGTTTTACATCAGTATTTTGTTGATACTCAGATACCGTAGAGGATCAACCACTCTCGTGGAACCAACATTTCTATCATTTCATGATAGGATCTCCTGTAACAGCTGAGTGGTGTAAATTCACTAGGGGATGCTGCAGTTACACAGCTTTTCTTTAAAGTTTTCTTGCTGATGATCATACAAGCATATCTGCAGCCCCGAGAAGCATAAAAATGAAAGCATTCCCATTAGAGTAGCAGGCAGGAGGGCTGTTAATCAACTGTGTGTCTCATTAAAGAGAACTGGAAAGTATTCCTCTGCTGAGGCTTGATCCAGAGCCCATTGAAGT